AATGTAAGATTCGCGGGTTAAGATTTGAACCGAAAAAAAAAAAAAATTACAATACATTAATATTTAGCAGGTAAACCAGGCAAGATTGTAGGGAGCATCGTGGCATAGATTCGATCAATCCTACTCTATCCATACGAACCAAGTCCTCGACTTTCTTGCAAAGACTCAACTTTTCCACCTTATTCCACGACGCTGTAAAAGGATCGAGGTCGACAGACTGTACACCGTCTGCTTCGTTATATTAACATTACGCGCGTTTAAAATATTCCTACCAGCCTCTCTATGTACATATACACACACGTATACTAACGTTTCACGTTCATTGACTGCCTCGTAGATCCGATCTCGCCGCGCATGCGAGTTTCCGCAAATGGCAGCGGCACACTTTTGCAAATGTGCATTCGAATGCATGCGCCGAGTAGAAAATCGTGTCTTACCATATATTAACGATTACGAATAACGAAGATAATTTCTAACTTAAAACGAAAAAGAAAAAGTACGAAAAGTACACAGCCACCGTGTAAATAGATCGTCGAAAGCTTGGGAAAAGAGAGCTCGTGCAGAGACATCGAAGCGAGGAGAGCCAAGGTGGGGCATGACAAAAAAAAAAAAAAGAAGGAAAAATGACGCGTCGCGACGCGGATCCATGAAGAACGAGCGACACGTATCAATTGCGCCGTCTGTACTCGACGACGTGGATAAATCAATTGTACTATGCTACGGTGAAATTCGTAATTTGAAAATAATTGATACTGGCCAAACGGTGACCGGGTCCTCCTCTTTGGCCAGGCCTATCGTTCCGTTCCCCCTGCCTATTACTTCCATCAATCCATTCTCTCTTTCTCTCTTTGACCAGTGCAACAGTCGCGTTTACCCGTTAGTCACGGAAAATGTCGTACAAAACTGCGGACAACGTGTATAATTGCGTGAAAATTGGGAGCGACCTCTCGCGCTTACGGCAGCTGCTGCTCACTTTTAATTAATTAAAAGTCCCGCCGCTGTTTTGCCATCGGGAGCACACCTCGAATATCTCTGTTTCGAATACCTCGAATATCTCTGAATTTCTTTTTTCTTGCAGTTTCGCAACGAATAGAATAACTCAGCTAATCCGTTCTTACGTTTGTTTCGATGTCGAGAAAAGCAGGACGAAGTTTGTGTAAAGTGTCTCTGAAAAAGGACGGGAAAATTCATTCTTACACGGTGTATATCCGCGTTAATTATGCATACATGAATCCCCGGAGGCCACGTGTATTTAACCAGCGTATGTACGAAATTTTTCGTCAGTTTCGCGGTGCATAAATAATTCGTGAATGGTGGCGCGTAACCGCGCGAAATTGTATAATTTATCAGGTGTGCGTGGTCGAAAATTTCGCGATATCAACGAAAGTATCCGTGAACAGAGCTAGTTACATGAAAATATACGCTCCGGTGGGAAAAAAATTCTGCTGAAATTGACCGAACGAATCATACGTGAACGTACGAAATTCGACTAAAAAAAACAACGTAGGCGTGTGTACGTGTATGTGTATATACAACGTTTACGTGGAGCGCGACGTTAATTAGAATGTTGTGCCATTCCGTTGCATAATTAATGTAAAATTATTAATTACCTCTGGCGTGCTTTACGCAACGTTACCTACTACAATTACATCGAACAGGGGAGAGGGTGTTGTATCGCGAGCAAGCGAGCTAGCTTGTGACTAAATCTCATTACGACACGTCGACGGGCCGAATCGAATGAAGCCATGGCCGCCATGAGGATAACGAGACTATGAAATCCATCTAAATTCCATGCATTTTCACATAGTCGCTCGTTCGACGACCGTCGTCGATTCTTCCCTTATATTATCTATGGAAGCGGTAAAAACTCCGGGAAATTGAGAAATTCGAACGGACACTCGCTGCACTTTGTCCTTACGAATGAGCGCTCACATCAATTCTCGATTTAATATGAACGCGTAATGGTACTCCGGAGGATCTATGCGAGGTAGAAAGAAAGATAGAGAGACAGATATTGAGCTACGATCGTAAGGGGTGTTCTATTAGATCGTGTAATACGAAATGTTGGATTTCTAATCGTGAGAAAATTGATCGCTCCGGTGATTAATTCGGCGTTGCAAAATTGTAAAAATTCTGCAGGTTCCTGGGGTTAATAAAATTGAATAAAAATTAATTTTAGAAACAATTTTTGTTTCGTTTCATGTCTTGTTAAAATTCAATTTGAGAGGAAAAATCAGATACAGGGGAACCTAAGTGAAGAACGATAGTAAAATGTTCAGTACTAAAGACGATGTAAAGAACAAAAAAAAAAGAATAAGGAAACAACGTCGATGAATACTGATAAGTATGTAAAAAGCTTGAAACCAACCAGTTAACCTTGCACATTATCTAAAATCAATTACACATCCCATTATAGATAACTCTATAATTATCTATGCGAGCCGAACGAGCGACGCAAAAAGTTCTAGCAAGAAACGCGCAACAAAAAAGTTCGAACGAGACGTGGAGGAGGAAAAATGGCGATAGAGGAGCGTATAATCGTGGATAGACAAACGCTGGGGGTGAACGGTATTTCGTCGGAACGAATTTACGGAAAAGTGCATTAAAATGCGGACGCTTGCGTTCGTTTTAACCGACATAAAAGGGTGGTATGGTGCGTGCGCGCGATGGACTAAATTTCTATCGGGATACAGACACAGCGACGGAGGGAGGTGGGACGGATCCGGTGGCGCGCAATTGAAAAACGCATTACACGTACGCCGGAGGTGAACCGCGGAAATAAACCGCAATGCCAAAAACAGTGCGCGTTCTCGCGCGACGAAAATTAAGAGCGAAAACGCGGTTTTCAACGGTGGGACCGTTTCACGGGATAGAAAAGAACAGTGAGCGTTATAGAAACAGAGAGAGAGAGGGAGAGATCCGTTGTGAAGGAGAACAGAGAGAGAGAGAGATGGAAGAGACGATTTCGAAAGGGGGATGATGTGGGTCGTTGGTGTACCGGTGCGTGAAATTGGGTAAAAATGAATCGACGCCAGGACGCGGTACCGCCATTATTCCCGAAACTCGGTATCAGGATATATACGTACGCTGGCTAACCTACGTGACGCGTACGGATCGACGAGACGACGATGCAGAAAGTACAGCCAATGTTTTTTCGGCTTTGGCGCGCTCGCACGCGAGCGCGTACACTGTCAAGCGCTCGATGGATGTAACAGGATGATGTACAGAAAGGTTGGAAAAAATTGACACGGTTATGCAAGCGACGAGAGCGTCGAGACGACCGGGGGAAAGTTGGATGGTGGAGTAAAGGGACTGGGTGGCGCTAGTAGTCGTCAGTGTAATTAAATTAAACGTTCTAGCAATATCCCGAGTTTTTTCAATTCGTTGACTACGTATACCTAGAATTTTTATCGTCAATGTTGATTTTTATCACCCTTTACTGTAAGCTCAACAGTATGTAACAAAGTTCCACAACAATGAACAAAATTTATACGCTAAATTAATTCAGGTTTGCATAGAAAAACAATTTATTCGTTCGCGTAGAATCTCTCCCTTCCGGGAGAGACTGTAACCATCGGTTATACATATAGAACAACACTCTGTATAATTGTATTCTATCGTTGCAAGAAGGTTTCCCTTTGACCACCCTAACTCCTAACGCCTATCCGTGTCACCGACAATCCGCATTACGTATCGACAACACGATACTTGTTGATTCGGTAGGGTATCTAGGTTACCGGTGATCTCAGAAACACAATCTTACAATCGTGAACGTTCACCGGAGAACGCTGTAACCGTATACGTGCACGAGTTTCGATAGTCCGTGTACGGGTATAACCGGTGGGTACGTATATACGTATATTGACCTCGGGGGGAGTATTATAAGCACCGATGTACAATACACAATACCCCTGGCGCAGTATCCGAAGGTCGTGTACTAACACGCGATACCGTTCTTACACGAGCTTAACGCTGACGAAATGGATGACACTGTAACACGCCAAAACACGCTCCCGATAATTCCCAAGCTCCGTGAGCACGCTCATAAACATTACGAGCCCAAGGACCGTTCGATCCTTTCTAACCTCTTCTATCTTACGATCTGTGTTAACGATCTAACGATACCTTTTTCGTTACTGCACTTGTTTGACAAATCAGATGACGAAGGTCTTTCGTTGGTACAGTCGGTGGAAGAAATATAACGAGGTCTTAAAATCACTTTACACGCTCGAGAATATTGACCGGTGAATCGACAGAAACCTGAGAAGGGCCTGAAATCTCAGTCAGGGATGCGAGAAGTGTGTCTCAGCTTTGATTCAGTCCCAATCGAAAAATGTAAAATACCACAAGTCGACCTTACATACTTTAATTTACAATCTCCCTATATTTCTTAAATGATTACTTCCACGTTGACTGAGAGACTCTGAGAGAGCGAAAAAACTAACCTAAAAAAAAGCCCAAAGTGAAATGAAAGAATAGTCGCAACAGAACGCACAAGAGGTCGCGGATCCGCGCGAAAATCGGACGTACCCTCGGCACACTCCGTCGGTAATCGGATAACGACGTTAGCATCGCGGAAGGTGCTCGTGTTTAATAAAAGCCTCGATATCG